TGCAGGAGCTGCTGCTCGCTCGGGTGCTGTGTGTGTGGTGCTTCGCTCCACCTCAGCCTCCTCAGAGCCTGCCTGTGCTTTAGCAGCACGTTCCCTTGCTGCGAGGTTGTGCCACTTTGCTAAAATCCCAGTAAGTTTTACTGGGAGTGCCCACACTGGTCACACTGGTGATGGGAGAGATCGGCTGCGACACAGTGGCGGTTCCTGTCAGCACTGGAATAGCTGTTTCAGGTCTGAGTTTGCACCTCCACTCTTTCTTCGTGGCAGTCAGTCTCTTCAAGAGGTGTTTTTTTTCCCTGTTTTTGATCCACACAAGGCCAACAGTTTGGGTGCAAGTTGTCAGCAGATTGTGCAAGTGCAGGCCTGTTTGCACAGCCTGTGGGTGACACGGGGATGGTCACAACAGCGCGGTGAGCAATCCTCCAGCTCATCCTGCAGCGGGACACCTGCATCTCACAGGGTGGAGAGGCTGAGACCTGTTACACTCATTGTGCTGGTTAACATCTCCTTTTCCTTTTCAGGGACCTGATGGCAGAGTCTGAGACCCCTCCAGAGCCGCAGCTGGAGGAAGCTGGAGCTTCCTCAGCCCCACAGGGAGCAGCTGCAGGCGCTGCTCCATGCCCCGACCCTTTGTGCAGCCCCTTAGACCCAGCGGGGTCCCACGGGGACAGCCCAGACACCTGCCAGGAGCTGCAGGCAGACGGCAGGGATGCTTCCCTGGAGCTAAACATGCCACGGTGCCTGCTGGATGAGGATGAGATCAGGGCTGGGATCCCCCTGGATGAGGATGTGGCAGGAATCCCACTGGACGTGGACACAGATGGGGTAGGGATGCCACTGGATGGGGATGGGGCGGGCATCCCGCTGGACGTGGATGCAGGTGGGATGGGGTTCCCACCGGACGTGGATGCAGATGGACTAGAGATCCCACTGGATGGGGATGGAGCAAGGATCCCGCTGGACGTGGATGCAGAAGGAGCGGAGATCCCACTGTACATGGACACAGACGGGGCGGGGACCCCCAGCCGATGCAGGCGCAGAGCGGGAGGGGATCCCGTTGGACATGGAGGCAGAGGGGTCAAGCAGTCCCCCAGATGCGGTTAGTGTGGAGCATCAGTGCCTGACCCTCGAGGAGCTGGGGGATTACTTCCAAGAGTGCATCGAAGCCGTCGAGCAGTTGGAGAAAGAGAGAGACAGCCTGATCGAGGAGCTGGCCCAGCTCCGGGAGCCGGCACTGCAGGAGATCCGCCACGCCCATGA